CTTGGTCAACAGAGTGAGGTGGAAACGGTGCGGTGAGCTCCAGAGGCTTTGCACATTTCAGACTGCTTTCCCCTAACAGAGCTGCTACGTGAACACATCTGCGTTGCTAGATGACGAAGACAAGGCCCAATCTGCCTGTTGCCCCATCTAAAGCCAGCCTACCCCCAGCAGGAACACTGCCAGTCCCGTGAGCGAGTGAAACCATGTCACCCAGGGGCCCAGCCCAGTGCAGGTGACCTCAGGCTCATGAATACGTGAGCGAGTGAAACCATGTTACCCAGGGGCCAGCCCAGTGCCAGGTGACCTCAGGCTCATGAATACGTGAGCGAGTAAAACCATGTCACCCAGGGCCCTGCCCAGTGCCAGGTGACCTCAGGCTCACGAAGAAGCCCAGGCTGGTAGAACTATCCAGCTGACTTGTAGACTCCTGAGCAACAACAAATGGTTGTCTGTTTTAGTCACTAAGCTCTGAGATTGCCTATTATTTAGGAAAAGCTAACTAATTGATCCATGGGTTCCTTAGTTAGCTCTTCTGATAAATAATATTAATACAATAAATAATAAAGTACTCTATACCAAGATTCCTGTGTTTCAATCTATTATTCTCAGCAAAAACCCATTTCCCCCCTTAAAATAGTAAGAGTTGTCTTAAGTTCATAAATTGTGCCCTAATCCTATATAATAAAGAGGTAATATGCAAATTGGCCCTCACAAGATGGCTGCCTACGACCAGGCAGGCAGGGGGGGTTAGTGAGGGATGACCAAACGACTGAACAAGCAGGCTGCATGGGGTGACCAGGCTGGCAGGGGGGCAGTAAGAGGTGGCCAGGCCAGTGGGGGTTGGGGGAGCAGTTGGGGGTGACCAGGCTGGTGGGGGGGCAGGGGCAGTTAGGGGCGGCCAGGCAGGCAGGCAGGTGAGCAATTAGGAGCCAGCAGTCCAGGATTGTGAGAGGGATGTTCGAGGGGTCCCAGATTGAAGAGGGTGCAGGCTGGGCTGAAGGGACAGCCCGCCCCCCTGTGCACAAATTTTGTGCACTGGGCCTCTAGTTATTTAATAATTACCTGAATCTTGCCCTAACCAGTTTGGTTCAGCAGATAGAATGGCAGCCTGTGGACTCAAGGGTCCCAGGTTCGATTCCAGTCAAGGGCATGTACCTTGGTTTCGGGCACATCCCCAGTAGGGAGTGTGCAGGAGGCAGCTGATAGATGTTTCTCTCTCATTGATGTTTCTGACTCTCTATCCCTCTCCCTTCCTCTCTGTAAAAAATCAATAAAATATATTTTTAAAAAATTACCTGAATCTAGATAAAACATTTTTCATTCTTTTAAAAAAATTACTCTAAGCCACAACTCTGTCCATTTTTGACAACAGCAACTTAAAGACATTACTATTTTTCTAAGATATGAAGAATATGTCTTCATTAAAAAAATTAGGTAGATAAAAGAATCAAAATTTCATCAATGATTTAAAAATAGAATCCATTTACTTATATACACCTAGCATCCTATATAATAAAGATGTAATATGCAAATGGTCGTTACGCCATGAAGCGTAATGACCAACCGCGTAACAACTGGATCACGGATCAGCAGGAGGGCCGGGCAGCGAGCTACAAGCGGGCGGTGGAGAGCTACAGGAGGGGGCAGGGCAGCAAGCTATGAGGGGGGGCCGAGGGGGAGGGGGGCGGGAGGAACCACAGGAGGGTGGGGAGGCGAGCAGGGAGCTACTGGAGGGCGGCAGTGAGCTACTGGTGCAGGGCTACTAGTATTTTATAAAACCACATATACTTTTTCTACCCAGTAATTCATTTTTGTACCTAAGGCAGATTTTAAAATAGGTGTAAAAATACTATCACTATTAAGAAACCACCATCCTCCTCTCGGGCATCCCCGTCCTTCCCCGCTCTTTGTGCTGCAGTCCTCCCCCTCCTGGGGGAACACCTGCATCTCCTTCCTTCTCCTGAGTGCCCTCGGCCTTCCTGTCGGAGAGTCCAGGGAGCCAGCCCAATCCAGCCTCCTCTCCAGCTCTGCATTTCCACTTTTAAACTGATGCAGCCCCCGTTAATTATTTTCTATTCTTTAAACTCAACATATCTAAAGTAAACTCATTCCATCTTTCTTCCTGACTTACATACATTAATAAGCCTTAGGCGTAAAGGACAAAAACCTCAGGGGTCCTTGACTCTCTTCTCACCAACAGTATCTAATCAGGCCCAAGTCCCCTGGGTCTGACTCTCCACAGCCTCCTATATCAATTTTCTTTCAACTTTTATTGCTATGACTCAAAGTCATGTCCCTCGATTCCAATTCATTCCATATACCTCTACTAGATTATTTTCCTCAAAGTGCATGTCTCACCACCAATCACAAAAACACCTGCCAACACCACCAATCACAAAAAACAAGCAAAACCCTTAAATGAATCCACTACTCAACAAATGAGCCCAGAATCTGTGTAGGGCCTGGCACACAAGTCCTGTCTGCTTTGGCTCTAAGAGCCCATTTTCCTAGCCTGTCTCCTACTGGTCTATACATACCTGTGCTCCTGGGACACTGGTATCCATGCAGTGTCCCCAGCAGAGAAGAAAAGCAGAAGCTTAGAGGCCAAACAGATGTGGCTTTGAACCCTTGTTTTGTCACTTACAAGCAGAATGACCTTGGACAAGTTACTTAACTTCTCTAAGTCTCATCACCCTCATTTGCAAAAAGAGATGAAAAATACTGACTCATAGAGTTCATGGGGAAAATACAATAAAGAAAATAGGCACAGAACTTAGCCAAACACCTGACGCATAGGTTGTCAGTATGTTGCTGCGACTTCTAAGAAATACTGAGTACTTTCTAATTTCAGCACCTTTGATCTGGCTGGGATCCGGCTAGGATTTCTATCTGATGAAACCCTACCCAGCTATCTTGACTTACTCCATGTTTATAAAATATTCTTGCCCTGGCTGGTGTTGCTCGGTGGTTAAAGCCTCAGCCCATACACCAAAGGGTCCCAGGCTCCATTTCCGGTCAAGGGCGTGTACCTGGGTTGCAGGTTCCCTCCCCACTCCTGGTCAGGGCAGCAACCAATCGATGTGTTTTTCTCACACTGATTTCTCTCTATCTCTGTCTGTCTCTGTCTCTCTCTCTCTCACCCTCCCTCCCTCCCTCCCCCCACCTTTCACTCTGAAAAAGCAATGGAAAAAACATCCTCTGGTGAGGATTAACAAAAAAAATAAATAAATAAAATCTTAAAAATAAGTCCTTAAGGGACAATTCGATTTAAATGCAATAGTTCTCGCCGAAACTGGTTTGGCTCAGTGGATAGAGCGTCGGCCTGCGGACTGAAAGGTCCCAGGTTCGATTCCGGTCAGGGGCATGTACCTGGGTTGCGGGCATATCCCCGGTGGGAGATGTGCAGGAGGCAGCTGATCGATGTTTCTCTCTCATCGATGCTTCTAACTCTCTATCTCTCTCCCTTCCTCTCTGTAAAAAATCAATAAAAATACATTAAAAAATAAATAAATAAATAAATAAATAAATAAATAAATGCAATAGTTCTCTTACCGGATTTGTAATTGTGATGATTTCTCCTTCACTAACTGTCAGTTCATTATTTCCAGGTTCGGCAGCAAAATCATACAAAACCCGAGCCTGTTGGGAGTGGAAAGGAAAAGAAGTTACAAATGTAAACTTCGTAAAAAAACCAACAACCTTTAAGTTCCTTTTGTATACATGCTGGTATGAACAGACACCACATGACAGTGGCCGCCATGTTTGGGGAGAAAGCAGGCATATTACCAAAATGATTCAGAGTCCAGTTCTGTTTTGGAAACAGGAGAAGGTCTGCATTTAGAGACTGGCTCCCCAAAAGTCCTCAAAACACACCCATTTCATCCAGGGGAAAAAGGGATGCCCCTCCTTTCCAGGAGGTAAGAAGTAGCAATCCAGACATTGCTCACTATGGGAACTCACTCTCAGGGACCAAAGAGAAATACAGAGACACAAATATGGAGACAACTGCAAGTCAGACATCTTTAGAGTTTTCCCTTGCCACTAAAACTCTCAACATTCTTTATCTAGAGCCACTGGGATGAATCCTGATACTGCATTTTCCCAGACAAGTAAACTCAGAATGCAGGATACACACTGCATTCTTGTTCTACCATATTACCCACTGTACAATGACTCATAGGGCTGTGGAGACTGGCCAGTAATTTTCAAACATTTTCCTGCAATGAAATCTTAATTTCTCAGAAAACATCTGAGGGTTCAAAGAGAATCCTTGAGGCACCAACCCAGAAATGTGAGTTCCTTGGAATATTGCCACACATGTATTCTGAGAGAATCACTGTTGAAAAAAATGCATGTGTATTATAGATCATAAAAATATATATATCTTGCCCTAGCTGGTTTTGCTCAGTGGATAGAGCATCAACCCATGGACTAAAGGGTCCTGGGTTTGATTCTGGTAAAGGGCACATGCCTCGGCCGCAGGCTCGATCCCTGGTCCCTGTCAGGGTGTGTGCGGGAGGCAGCGATGATGTGTCTCTCCCCCTCCCTTCCACCTTCTCTAAAAATCAATGGGAAAATATCCTCAGGTGAGGACTAACAACAACAAACAAACAAAACCCCCCTTTTAAACCATTTCAAATGCTATAGAAATGCCTTTCACGGACTGTCTCACAAAAAGAAGTCCATCTTATAAATCGAGGCTCACCCACATCTAGAGATATATGGTTTATTTTTAAAGTAACTGTCCTAAGAGGCAAACTGAAGTTTACCCCAGGGCTAGTCAAACAGGGCGGATGGAACGGCATTCACTTCAGGAATATCTACCGCACACCTCCCATAGGCTGAGACCTGTGCGAGGCTCCGAGCTCGCCAGTGCGCCTTCTCACACTTGCTTAACGATGCCGGAAATCCTTATCACAAGGATTAAGCATTCACAGCTAGTAATAAAAGACAAGGGAAAAACCTAAATACTCATTTTCAAGGACATCAAAAATAATAAGATGTGCTCTTCCGGGCTCGTGTGGTGGTCGGCATGGCCCGTGAGTGTGCGGACAGGCTGGGGAAGCGGCAGGGAAGCCGGCGGGTCACCCAGGCAGGGCCGGCAGGCGCGGAGCCAGGGGCCGGCGGGGACAGCAGAGAGGGACGGTGGGCATCAACGAGAACTTGCCCGCCAGAAAAACATGAAGAAATCCCAGGAAATTAGCAAGGGAAAAAGAAAAGAGGATAGCTTGACTGCCTCTCGGAGCAAACAGAGAGACTCTGAGATCATGCAACGAAAGCAGAAAGCAGCTAACGAGAAGAAGTCTACGCAGACAAGAGAAAAATGATGACTGACAATTTGGAAAATCTGGGTGCTACTGCCAACCGGGTGTATTATAAGCTCTACGATCAAGATTTTGTAGAGTGAACAGTCATTACATATGTTACAACATATCTTTATAAAAACTATTTTAAACTTTACCTTTCAGAACCATTCTTCAAAGAATAAAACACTAACCATGCATGTGAAAAAAATAATAATAAGATGGACTGATGGGTGAATATGTGATAAAGCAGGTATAATAAATGCTATTTATAGAATCTAGATGGTGGGTTTATGGTGTTCAATGAAAAATGATTTCAACTTTTCTACATGTTTGAGAGTTTTCATAATAAAATGTTGGAAAGAAACAAATGGTAGTGCATAGCGTGTCAGTGAAGAAACGGCACCTGATTCCTTACTTCCATCTTTACGGAGAGGCTGGGAAGGGGATGGGAAGAATGGACTGCAGGCAGAGATTCTGGAAGCATTCGTTTTCCTTAGGTCATTTCAAGCACAACAAAACTGTGCTGAGGGTTGTTTCTCCTATAGCTGCAAAAGTACAAGAATTCTGCTTGTCATGTTGTGGAATATTTTTCAAAAACATGTCATACCAATCTCAATCCGTCGTGCAAAGAGGGCAGACATGAGATAAATGGGTGAGGCGGGTCCTCCCCTGTCAGGAGGGTCCCAGAGCCAGGACACACCCCTCAGCACAGCAAGCTTCCTAGGGAGGGGTCTGGTATGCTGACAAGAGCCAGATGTTTTCTTATTATTCCTTAAGAATCCCAGTTAACAATTTTTTTAATCCCACTAACTCCAACTAATCCCCAAATACAGAATACCAAAGCCTCTTTACCAAATTTACAACTTGGTAAAACAGAATGTCAAAAACAAAAACAAAAACTGGAAACTCTTACACATTTAAATGTTACTAAACATGCCCTAACCGGTTTGGCTCAGTGGATAGAACATCAGCCTGCAGACTCAAGGGTCCCAGGTTCGATTCTGGTCAAGGGCATGTACCTTGGTTTCGGGCACATCCTCAGTGGGGGGTGTGCAGGAGGCAGCTGATCGATGTTTCTCTTTCACTGATGTTTCTAACTCTCTATCCCTCTCCCTTCCTCTCTGTAAAAAATCAATAAAATATATTTTAAAAAAATAAATAAATGTTACTAAACATTTATCCAAGGCAAAAATGTATATAAACATTGTAGGGTTATTTAAAACACTGATCAATACTTTTTTAAATCTAGAGTTGTCTCTTAAAAATTAGAAATGAGAATAATTTTGGAGAAAACAAATATTTCAAAGGCACATCCCCAAATGAGCATAATAGGCCAACAGAAAAATAACTGAATGTTCAGCCTAGAGGAGCAACTTTTCTCTTCTCTTCTCTTCTCTTCTCTTCTCTTCTCTTCTCTTCTCTTCTCTTCTCTCTCTCTCTTTTCTTTTCTTCCTTTCTTTCTTTCTTTTCTTGTTTTCTCTCTTTTCTAAAGAACTGTACATTTTACTTTTCAATTAGTTTACATATAATATTATTGCGTGTTAGTTTCAGGTGCACAGCATAGCAGTTAGACAATCACATACTTCATAAAGTGGTCCCCCTGATATTTCAAGTGCTCACCTGGCACCACACCAAGTTAGTACAGCATTAGGGACTCTATTCCCTATGCTCCACTTTATCCCCCTGTGACTATTGTGTAACTGCCAATTTGTGCTTCTTAATCCCTTCACCTTTATCACCCAACACCCAAGCTTCCTCCCCTCTGGCAACCACCAGTATGCTCTGTGTTTATGAGTCTGTTTTCATTTTGTTTGTATATTTTGGAGGATCAATTATTCTTCTACAGCTTAAGTAAGAACCAGAACGCATTCTAATAGACCCTGAGAGCATTACTGTATTACATCATTAATATAGATGTATTTGTCCCTATTATAAATGTTAAGGCTTCAATGCTTTTCAGTTCATATCAATCCATGATTTCAATCACTTTAAATTCTGGCTTGTGCTTATTCTGTTATTTTGAATCAAATACAGAATTTTAAATATCTCTACGATTTCATCCTGTTAGACTCAGCCCACTGCTTCTACCTACTAATGAGTTTTCTGAATTCTGAAGCCACTAATTTATCCCTTATCCTTTCCTGCTGAGTCATCAGAAAGCCCGGGATAAGCATGCTTTCCATAGTTTGACCTGCTTCATTAATAAACTGTTAAAATATGGTAGCCAGGGAGCCAAGAGAGCCGCTAGAGATAAGAAATTCTCCAATTAATTACCATGTTTTGGGTATGGTACTCTTACAATTTCCAAAGAAGAAAATAAAGTTAGTCTATTTCTTTAAATGTTCACAAGTAGCATGTTTAATAATTCATTCAAGAATCTATTCAAGCCCTGGCCCATATGGCTCAGTTATTGGAGCATTGTCCCGTACACCAAAAGGTTATGGGTTCAATTTCCAGTCAGGGCACATACCTAGGTTACGGGTTTGATCACCCCATTGGGGGCTCTAGGGGAGGCAACCAATTGATGTTTCTATCTAAGATTCAATAAAAACATATCATCAGGTGAGGATTAAAAAAATAAATGGGAAAAAAAAAGATGATTAGAAGGCAGAATCTGTATTAAGGGCTATATATTCCTGCAGGGAATTCCTCATTCTGAGTACTGTGGTTTTCACTGTATATAAACATAATATACTTTCACAACAAGGACAAAAGCAATATAATGAAGTTAAAAAATGAAAAGTTAAAAAATGTTCCTCTTTGCCAAAGGATACAAATGCCAACAGATCTGAAAGTACCTTAAAGTACCTTCAAAACATTATGCATTTGACACATGTTTGCACATCAACACAAAACCACTTACAACCACAGTACATAAACTCTTCTACAGGTCATATTCCATTTACTCTTAGTTCTCTTCATATCAGCATATTTACCTTCTCTTTATCACACTGGCAAGGTTACTACTAACCTCCAGGGCAAAGCACACGAAAACCTACCTCGCTGTGGTTAAGAAAATAACTTCACTCCCACCCCAAATTAAAATAGCTTTATTATTTTCCTGATTGTAAAAAAACATGTACATGGTCACACACACACACACACACACACACACACACACACACACACACACGCTTTTCGAACCCCAAAGACGACTGGTAGAGAACTTATATGCACGCCCAGTAACAGTGTCTGTCTAAGCTGCCACCTCCCAGGCCCCAGTATTGTGTACTGAATGTTTTCCATTCCTCCCACAAAAGGGGAGGAAATGTAATTATTGGCAACACAGCAATTAAGCTGGCTTTGAAACCAGACCATGCAGGTTCAACTAGGCTGAATTCCTTAAAGCTAAAAGTCTCTGTCTGAAATTCCTCAAGAATAAGATAAGGATAACAGCATAAGCCTTGTGACACGAATGATAAATAGGGTAATAAATATAAAGCACTTAGAACAGTGGCTGGCACAAAGAGCCCCCCAAATGTTAGTGGTTGTAACCTTTGGATTTTTTAAATACACACCCACACACATATTGCATATGCTAAAAATCATTGTATAGCTTTCCTCTTTCCAGCCACCAAAGGCTCTGGAACTAGCCTTGGAGCTCAAGGGAAAGAGCTGAGGGCCAGGTTACTTATTCCCACAAAAGGTGGTTCTGGAATCTGTTACTTCACCACATCGCTCAAGAACCAGATCCACCTGGGGGTTGGGGTTGTCAACCCCAACAACCCCTCCACTCCTGTGTAGTGTGTATGGTGGGAAGAGTTTACCCAGCAATGTTAATTATGATGTCCACAAGGACTCCCTCACCCTCAGTCATTTAAAAAAATATTAGAACAGATCAATTTTAAAATAAATAGGCAAAAATCAAGTTTCCCTGTAAATACTTTGATAAAAAAAATAATAGGAAGGATATTCCCAATAGCAACAAAAACAAAATAGAAAAGAAGAGATAGCCAAAAGCATAAAGAATTTACTGAAGAAAGCCTATCAATATATCACACCATGTCCCTGAGAATAAGGTGCAACACCATAAAGATGTCTGTTTATAAATAAATTGCAATTCATCCAAAATCCCAAGGATGCTCAATGACCTCAGGGAGAATTTCAACAAAGAGATAGCAAACATAAAAAATGGAGATAGAAACAAAAAGTAACCAATCAGAAATGAAGAATACAGTAACTAAAATGGAGAGTACATTAGAGGAAATCCGCAGATTAGATGAAACAGAGGACAGGATCAGCGATTTGGAGGATAAGGTAGCAGAAAACACCCAGTCAGTACAGCAAAAAGAACCCAAAATAATGAAGACAGCATAAGGAACTGCTAGGACAACATCAAGCATACCCCTTTCACATCATAGGAGTACCAGAAGGAGGAAAGAAACGGCAACAAATTAAAAACCTATCTGAAGAAATGATGATGGAAAACTTCCCTTACCTGGCCAAGGCAACAGCATACACAAGCCTAGGAAGTGCATGAGTCCCAAATAAGATGAACCCAAAGAGGCTCGTACCAAGACACATCATAATTAAAGAAACCAAAGGTTAAAGACAAAGAGAGAATCTGAAAAGCAGCAAAAGAAAGCAGTTAACTACAAGGGATCTCCCAGACTGTCACATAATTTCTCAACAGAAACTTTGCAGACTAGAAAAGATTGGGATGAAATATTCAAAGTAATGAAAAGGAAGGACCTATAACCAAGACAACAAACTACCCAGCAAAGCTATCATTTAGAATTGAAGGACAAATAAAAAGCTTCTCAGATAAGAAAACATTAAAAGTTTATCACCACCACTCTATTGTAAGAAATGTGAAAGGGACACCTTTTAGAAGAAAACAAGGTAAGAAAATATAAATAATAAAATGTCAATTACTATAATCTATCAACAATTACTTTAAATGTAAACAAATTAAATATTCTAATCAAAAGACAGGGTGGCTGAATAGATAAGAAAACAAGGCCCTTACATATGCTGCCTACAAGAGACTCACTTCAGATATAAAGATACACACAGACTGA